TTTAGGAGCAACAAAGGATGCTTCCTCATTGCCATCGCTGAACTGGCAACTGCCAGTTCAGTTTATTTTCTGTATATGGAGTGGGAATGGGTACCATTTTGTTCTTCACCTCAGGCACCAAAAATACCTTGGACCATCTGTGACAACGTTTCCGGTAAATGGAAAGAGGATAGTACACATAGCCATATGGCAGATGTACTCAACACATTGACCTCCAGCCACTCATCTGAATAGGGCTTGCATTCTTTGGTAGTTCTGCTTTCAGCTTAAGAATGGGTAATACTTCCCCTTCATGGCTTTCAGACAAGTCCTACGCACCTGGTCATAGAGCCTCATCCATTGAATTACTGGGATACACTTCTAGTATAAGCAACAAATATGTACTTTCAAGTAATGGAGACAGTCTTCCATTCTGTCAGTTAAATCAATATTAGACTGGAAGTTCCTTAAGTGTTGGTTCCATGGAGATTTATCACTGCCACTGTCACAATTGACATTACTTGTCACAGTGAAGACCACCTCCAGCAATGGGTTCAGAAATGCCAATTTCACAGTTTGTGCACAATGACAACTGCTTCTAGCTCAATCGAATGAAATATCGCAATGGTTAGGATGAAACAGAACATTGTGCTGCCTCCATACTCTCAGTGTTAAGCAGCTGGGAGAGAGGGATAACATTTCCCCTCTTCAGTAATGAGCAGGTAGGGAAGGTGAGGGATGCAATTGCACCACCGCTTTACCAGAGTTGGGGACAGGGTAGGAAGCTTTAAAGGCTTGCCCCACACCAAGGCCAGCTTCTTTCAAGTGTTGGCCTGCCTACCCACCCTGTAAGTTGGGGTGAAGATTTTAGTCACCTTACTGGGATAAATTTCTAGTATAAGCAACAGGGGGCTGGATAAGTATTTGGGGCCTTGATTCCTTGATTGGTGTATTAAACAAAAGCGGGGTGGATGATTTTTGCCTATCCCATTCTCTTTCCTATGGGGGCACATGGGGTAGATCAAGGGCAGTGTTGTGTTAAATAGGTCACAGTTTGGTAGGTAGTGCAGGGAAATAGGTGGTAGCCGTCAGTCCCACAGAGTGCCATTGGGTACTTAGGTCCCCTGAGTGACAGTGGATCGTGAGATTCAGAAACAAAAGCAGGAATGGCCTTCTAAGGCAGCCTTGGGCTACAGCTGGCTTTAATTCATAAGACTTAGGATGGAGACAGAGCCAAGAATGGCAGTTGAGTGGGCTGAGGCAAGGCTTGCAATGTAGAGCAGGACCCTTGGGCAAGGGACTCACCCAGTTTGTGCTGGAGAGGGCCCTGGATGTTCCTGTTCCCGTTCCCAGGTTTATGCACTACCTCAGGCCCCACCTCAGGTTAGGGACTTTAACAGTTAATATAGTTATGGCCCAAATTTGAAAACCATTTCCTGTATCTCATCTCTTTATTTACTGGTTGGAGGTGGTGAGGAGGAAAGAATGTAGCTATGAAATATAAAACTAAAACAGTTGAGGAGACAGATGTGGTCGATTTTCAGAAATGTGTTCCATTCCATCAACTTAATATCTTCTACAAAGTTCTACACAACTTTTCCTTTACACATGTAACTTTTGTCAAGGCTGAGTTTCTTCATCTGGTTCAGTAGTAGGGATGTCCTCATCTGTGCAATAGGAATGCGTATCTAGAGCTGCTCAGTATGATACCAAGAGGAAAAAAATGAGAGGTGAGTTTCATACTTGATTTGGGGTTAGCAGGAAAGCTAAAACAGAAAGTGGACAAAAAACGAATGAAAAAAAACACAGAAAATAAAATGCCAGGGAAAGGAAATAGAATGTTGAGAAAACAAGCCATGGCATAGTCTGAAAGGTGAACAAGTCTTGCAGAAGATACCTTTACTGCTGTGAAGATGGAATTATGAAAGAGAAATTCAAGTGGCCACACATGAGGATCTAAATATAAGATGCACTGACTCCATCCACAAAGGAACCACAGTCTTGAGTTTACAAGCAAGGCTGTTGAGGACAGGATAATTTGGAGATCATTCATTCATAGGATTGCCATATGTTGGAGGTGACTTTACAGAATGTGACAACATAACAACAGGTGAGAACTCAAAATTTAAAGAAGTGAGTTGGGTGTAACAGCTTCATTCTGCATGAAATCGCAGCCACAGATCCTTACATCACAAAAAACATTATTTTTGACATCAGAATGCTAGGTATTATGCCATTTCATCTACACATCTATGCATCTGAGTTTATCCACAGAACTCTATGCGAGTTTGCCATGGAAAGAGGATAATGCACTACATATGACAAATTTATAGGACTCGTTCTGGAAAATGTGAACATTTTTCTTGTTTTTCACCTTCAGTGAACATTCTACAAGGCAAGACTCCTCACAGGTAAATAAGTGAATTATATAGCATAGGTGATAAAGCTGTGTGCTGGGAGGAAAGAGAGGTTTTCATGATATACATAAACACTCTGTGAGAGTCAGTTATCCTAGAACAACTAACACAGACAGAATAAAGTTTAAAGTCTAATTTTTAAGTCTGACACACATATAGACAGTCTTCTCATATCAAAATCTGTGGCTGACCTTTCTCCCATGCTTTACACCAAGCACAATCTTTATTTTCCATTGTGAATTAATTCATAATAAAAAATCAATCAAAATAAATAATTAACAATAATTGCATGAAGATAATACTGGGAAACCAAAGGCCTGATTTCTAAGAATAAAATAAGGAACAAAAGAAACACTGAATTGACTGGCTGAGCACATTATGGGAAATACTTCATACAGGAATGCTACAACCCTGTTAGAGGAAAGAGCTGCTCACTACATTCTACACTATTGGTAGATCTTTTATTGCCACAAAGGAATGGGAAAGCTGCCCAATGGCATCAGCACAAGGCTCTGCATGGACCTCTACCTGTATGGAAGTTAGTATGAACAGGTACTTCACTTGACTAGGCCACAGTATATGACATGAGGAGTTTGGTACAGTGGTGCCTCACTTAACGGGGATAATCCGTTCCAGGAAAATCACTGTTAAGCGAAAACATGGTAAAGCGAAAATAAAAAGCCCATTGATACGTATTGAAAACCTTTCAGTGCATTCCAATGGGGTAAAAACTCACTGTCCTGTGAAGATCCTCCATAAGGCGGCCATTTTCGCTGCCTGTATCGTGAGGAATCCGTCCCTAAACACAGTGGGGAGCCATTTTATTTACCCGGTGGCCATTTTGAAACTGCCGGTCAGCTGTTGAAAAATCGTTTTGCGAAGAATCAGTTACTGATGCAGGGAACAGATCATTGCAAAGCGAAATTCCCCCATTTATACCATCGTTTTGCAATTCCAATCACAAAAGGATCGCTGTAAAGCAGATTCGTCGTAATGTGGGGCAATCATAAAGCGAGGCACCACTGTATAAACCCTGGTGTCCTTTAGAGAAAGTCTAAAGGGAGAGCACAGAGTTTAGTCTTCGCGCAGAATTAGCATACAGAGCATCCCAAGATCTATCCATAGTTCTTCAGTTTAAAAGGATGTTGGGCAGTAGGACTAAAGAAAGTCAGTCCCTGGATTCTGCCTGGAGAGCCAATGACAACAAGAATAGCAATACTGGGACACTATTTGAAGTATGCCCAGCCCTACCATAAGGCAGAATGAGGCACCAGCCCCAGACATTAGCTGCTGGGAGGGCAGGGGCAAGCAATGAAGTATTCCTCGACAAACCTTGCTTTTATGTCAGGTAGATTGTCTGGCATTCTCCGTTGCCCTCAGATCCTCGACAAACCTTGCTTTTATGTCAGGTACAGTAGATTGTCTGGCAGCAGAGAAGATGTTCCCCTCAGCAGTGTTGATGCAAGATATTTCTGTACATGTAGCAGAGAGAGAGCAGGCTTTTGTCTTTTATCTAAGACAGGATCTCTTTGGATGGCCATGGTGCAAAGGCACACGATACACCTACCTTGTTGGAGCTAAGCAGGTTTGTGTGGTAAATGCCTGCATGCAAGATACCCATTGTACCCCATCTTATGCCTTATTCCTGAATAAGTGTGAGATATAAATGTAAGAATTAACTAAATTTAAATCAGATGCATCAAACAGTCTAATTAAGCATGAGATTAGCCTTCACATATTCATCGAGCACTGCATCATTCTCATCCATATGTGCAAGCACTTTCCAACAAAGTGGGAAATGACAGAATGTAATTCAGTAGGTACATTTCATGAGTGGATTAATCTGTTCATTTTGGTTTTCTTCGTTTCTCATTTTTCCCATCTTATTTTTTTTCTGGCCCCATTTCTGCTTCATTTTTAAAAAGTCTATACAAATATGTACAGTATATGTATTTTTTCCTTATCCATATTTTAAACACTGATTTGTCTAATATACACATTTTGGCAAGTAGCACCCTGATGTTGTTGGGTGTGCACATTTTTCACTAGTATGCCTATTTTGTGCACACGTTTGTTTCCCTAATTTACACACTTTTGTATGTATTTTTCCCCTGGACAACTGCATTGCAGAATTCTGAAAACTATAAAAACTGAGGGAGGACTGTGCTTCAGTTTTGATATTGATTTGGAAAAGTATGAATCTGGTACTTTCCTATCGAAATGCAAACCAAGCCCCCCCCCACCACCAATCTGTATTATTGCAGATCTAAAGAGCTTTGAAAAGCAGCTCTTAGAATTAGAATTCCATTCCCCAAAAGGGGCTTATGGGTGTAATGCAAAATGAGATCTCATAAAACAAAATTATTTACATTTCTGCAGATGTCTTCTCAAATTGCTAAGCATCCGCTGCATCAAACAGGAAGCCAAACAGCAACACCTCTCTAATACAAAATTGGATTTACTTATCTAATGAAAAACTACTGCCCTTAGAGGAAGCACAGCCTAATGCAATGCTAGGGAATGACTCCAAAGTCAGGGTTTTGAAACTGGACTTGTGAATCACACTTCAGGGTAACATGATAGAATAGCATAAGCTGGCAGGGAGGTCAAAAATAGTGGATACACTTGCTGAGATTTTCAGAATGATCATTACAGTTTTATAACATGTATTTTCGGGGGAAATGGGTAGCAATACAGCTTTCTTACAGTGCTCACAGTAGAGAATACCAGCTGCATTAACAGGACTTCCCAATCAAAAGTGCCTTCCAAACAAAACAAGCTACCAGCCACGGTACAAACACAAACCACCACCACATTTTTAATTTATACGTGGATATGACGGAGTCAAATTCTTTTGACAATATACTGGCATAGGCCTACAAAACCTTTAAATTATGAAACAGCTTTTGCTTTGTTTAGCACATCAGTTCTTCCCTAAGGGAAGATGGTGAAAAACAACAGAAAATTGGGTTTGGATCTGGAGGAATGGACAAGAACGGGTTTTCACTTCCTATAAAATTCAAACATTCCAACAAAGTAGTCATTGTATATTGCCTGACCGAACTAGTAAAAACTAGATTGCTTTTGTATGTTTTGTGATTTCCCAGGTTGCCAAAGTCAGTAGCAAAAAAACCCAAAAATCTGAAAAAGTCAGTCATTATAGGGAATGGCACCATCCAGCATTCAAGCAGTGCTTACTTCCCTAATAAAGGAGGGAAAACCTAGCACTGTAAGTTCACCTTATTGATTTGTTGGCTGTGAAGTCCATATGCTAATGCTCCTAATGATCAACCATTCCTTTTGGCTTTTGGTAACAAGTATTCTCATACAGTTAATATCAAAAAGAACTTTGTGCTCCACATTTGTAATTTCTAAGTTTCCATTTTTAAACTCCCCTAGTCGCAAGAAAGTCGTGCATTGTCTACCCTTTTTGCCCCAAACGATCTTTTCCCCAACTTCCAGTGCCCCGTGATGCAAGACATCATTTTGTCGGTCTTCTGTCCCTGTGACAACTTTAATTCTATTAATTTTAATTGGCTTTTCAAAGACTATCATATAGAAATCTCCAGCAGAGGGTGCTTTGCCCCAGAAGTACTCATCAACACTACTGTATGCTTTGCTTGCTTCATAGTTTTCAAAAACATTCATGTTTGTGTGAAGGATGGCAGGCGGATTATCAGGAAGGTCAAATGAATCCTCTTCAAAGTCATCATCTTTTAATTTATTCTCAGCTCCTTTGTAAGATGAATAATAGCCCATATGCTGGAAAAGAGACGGTTTGAAACGAATTACATCCTTTTGAGCCAGCAGTCCACGGAAATGGATCAACAGCCAATCACATGGCATTTCCTGGTAGAACATCAGCAAAAAATGAGCCAATCGGGGGAGATCATGAGAATGATACAACTTCCCAATGTAGCCCAGTTTGGAAAATTCTAGTGTCACCCAGTACGTTCCATCTCTTGAAGTTATGACTTTTTTAATAGCAGTCAAGAAGTTTTTTGCACATCGGACATCATCTTCTAACATCACATAATAATCAGAAAGGTTAGCACAGAAATTAAGCAGGAAAGCATAGTCTACATTTTGTTTGGAACGGAATTTCACCCGGTCTTCAGGATCGTTATAATTTCTTTTGAGGCCATCCAATAGTGGATAATACTCTTCTGGTGTATGGATTACCATTAACCTCCCAGCAATTACATGGTGGGCAAATTTCTGTGAAATATCCTGAACCATCCCATCACACCAGACTGAGTCAAACTCGGCCAGATGTACCACCACCACAATTTCCTTCAGCTCTTCGTAACTCGACTGCTCAAATATGGATTTGATTGTCTCCAGCAAATAATTTCCTTTTCTCCGTTTGACTGAGGAGAGTCCGATAGTAAGATACCCTAGAGAAATAAAGAAAATTAGACTTCTTAAAAAAAGATGGACTATAATATTGTCAATTTATTAAAAATAAATTATGAGAATGAGGAAAAAGAACCTGTTAAAAGAACCATGTGTGTATCTACTAGGACTTCTGCCCATTTTCTTTGGAGAGCATTTTTTGTGCAGTGCATATCACATCGCTAATTGTTTTTGAAGTAATTCCGAGTTTGTGTGTTTGTGATCATGGAGGGGATGTGTTATTGTTATAATTACTGTTTTTTTTAAAGTAACATCTCTTGTACATGCATATGATTCTTTGAATTATATCAAGAGTAATCTGTGTTAGCCAATCTGTACAGTGAATGCTTTGCACCTTTCCTCCAGAAAGACATATTGGGAACATATTGTGGCTATTGCATTAAACATTAGGTGTTAACTGCATGAAGTGGTGTGAGGGAGACTAAAAGCCAAGAGAGATGTGTGCAAAGGTGCCAGCAGGAAAAATATATTTAAAATATTAACACTCTACAATCTGTCAGAGGAATGGAAATTCAGAGTTATGGCTCCCAGACTGTTTACAGCTCAGTCCATTAAGGAACAGAGAAGAAAGTGATGACTTGCTGTATTTTTAAAATAGTTCTCAGGAGAAAGGAAGGAAGGAAGGAAGGAAGGAAGGAAGGAAGGAAGGAAGGAAGGAA